ATAAGGGAGACAGACTTGCTCTCTGTAGCCATTGTTGCCACTACTCCTCCCTTTTGCTCTTGCTGTTTTGCAGTTTTCCACTGCCATGAACTGCTGCCATCTGCCATGTGCCAGTCTGCCTTGGAGCCAGTTGAGTATGGACTGAAACCTCCACTAATTTTTTTTTTTTTGGGGGGGGCGGGACTGGGGATTGAACTCAGGCCCTTGAGTTTGCCAGGGAAGCGCTTAGTCTACTGAGCCATCTCCCCAGCCCCTGAAACCTCCACTAATTGTAAGCTAAATAAACCTTTTCTTCCTTAATTCTAGGTGTTGGGTATTTTGTCCCAGCAACAAAAGAAAAGTAACAGACAATCTCTTCCTGTCCCATGATGACATTTCGACCCATCCTAGAACTTTCTGGACTCATTAATGGTTTTTTTTTAAATTTTATTTATTTATTCAATCTGTGTGTGTGTGTGTGTGTGTGTGTGTGTGTATGTGTGTGTGTGTGTGTGTGTCCAACTCAGCCCACCAGGGTGCGGGGCTGGCTGGCATGTGGTGCTGGGGGATTGAACTGTGGTCCCTGTGCTTTGTTTAGCTTAGCTTGTTCTAAGTAGGTGCTTTAGACCACTGGGCCATCTCACCAGCCCCATTAATGTATTTTGTTCAGTGGTCCTATTTCATTCAATTGACCTAATATTTATTTATTTATTTTTGGTTTCTTGAGACAGGGTCTCATGTAGTTTAGGCTGGCCTTGAACTTATTGTGTACTTCAGTAGTAGCGGGGGCACTTAGCATGCATAAGGCCCTGCATTGCATCCCCAGCACTATAACAGTAAATAAATCTTCAATTTCCAACCCCAATAAAAAGTTCTTCCTTACTTGCTAAGCTTGGCCCAGATCAAGGGACCCACCCTGGGGGGAGAAATGCTCTGTTCCACCTCCTGCTCCTCTGGAGCTTCCTCCTCTGCAGAGGGTAGGGTGGGTGCACTATATCTGTAGCCCCCAGATAGAGCTCCCTGGGGTGGTAATGTCAAGCGGCCTGTGCATGGAGGTTCCTTCCTTGGAACCCTTGCAGCCCACAGGCCAGTTCCTGCTAGTGTGGCTCTCTCTTCCGGCCCCTTTCCCTGGGTCAGGGAGGCCCAGGAGGCAGGTGAACAGTGAGCCCTTTCCTTGGGAGGCTGCTCCCACTGTCTTTGGTGGGTGGCATCCTACCTGAGCAGAGGACCAGACCCTGGCTCAAAATACAAATAGGCAACTAAGGCAATGGGGTCCTGTCCTGAAGGAAAAGGCTTGGCTTCTCTTCTCACAGACTTCCTCTCCTGGACCACTTGCTCACCACCAGGGGGCGTTATCTACCCCCATTCCTCACATGGATGGGTGTGGCACCCTTTTGTGGCCTTGGAGAACTAGATTGGCTTTTAGAGGGATGGGAAGGTGGTGTTGAGCCCCAGGCCAGCATCAAGGTGAACAAACCCTCTACTGCTGCGCTGCAGCCTGGTGTGGGAGTGTTTCCTGGGGAGCACAGGGAGCTCCTTGTTACAAGGAGGAGGATGGGAAGGGTGGAGGAGAGATGGGGGTCTCCATGGGCTTGGGCCATCTTCCCCCACCCTGTCCTGGGGAAGGCCAGGCCGGTGAGCGCAATGGGTCTCCTACCTTCTCATTCCCACCTTCTAGGTAGAGTCTCTCC